AGTAATCACCAAGTACCCTGAAAACTAGGAAAATCTAGACAAACATCACTATGCCAAACAAGGGATTAGACAGCGCTTTTTTAGGCCTTTAACAGCGCTTAAAAGCACTGCTAAAACCTCTGCTGCTAAAGGTATAGACAGCGCTTTTTTTTCAATCACTTTAGACAGCGCTTGGTAAAAGCGCTGTCTATTACCCCCCTTTAGCAGTGCTTTTCCTCATTTTAAATTTTTTTTTTCAATCACTTTAGACAGCGCTTTCATGAAAAGCGCTGTCTATTACCCCCCCCTTTAGCAGTGCTTGTCCTCATTTTTTTAAATTTTTTTTTTCAATCACTTTAGACAGCGCTTTCATGAAAAGCGCTGTCTATTACCCCCCTTTAGCAGCGCTTTTCCTCGTTTTTTTTTTCAATCACTTTAGACAGCACTTTCATGAAAAGCGTTGTCTATTACCCCCCTTTAGCAGCGCTTTTCCATATTTAAAAAAAAAAATTTCAATCACTTTAGACAGCGCTTTCATGAAAAGCGCTGTCTATTACCCCCCCCCCCCCTTTAGCAGCGCTTTTCCTTATTTTTTTTCAATCACTTTAGACAGCACTTTCATTTAAAACAAAATGCTGCCTATCAAATTTATTCTCACCGTTTTTGCACCATAAATTATAGCTTCATTATAACATTTTAAACAAAAACAACATTAATATATACCACAATGAAACAATATTATAACAACATCAATATTCATCTCTTAAATCCTTTTTGCACAATATACATAACAACAAGATTAATATATACCACAATGAAACAATATTATAACAACATCAATATTCATCTCTTCAATCCTTTTTGCACAATATACACAACAACAACATTAGTATATACAACAATGAAACAATATTATAACTACATCAATATTCATCTCTTCACTCCTTTTTGTACAATATACACAACAACAACATTAGTATATACAACAATGAAACAAAATCCACGATGAATATATAACTCTATCTTCTACATCGAGCTGCACCTATATAACCGAAAACAAAATCAAAAAATCAAAATTCATACAAGTTACCAAATAACAACAACAAAAACAATAATATTGTAACACAACTATAACGACATATATTATATTCTCAAAACTCAAAGTTATACCTTATAATAAAACTCTCAACTCCATAACAAATTGGCACCAATCCTCCATAAGTTCATCCAATTGATCTTTTGAGTATGAAGCACACTTGAATTCATCAAAGTACTACATAATAATATAACATAGTATGATTTAATTAAAATACTAAGTCATTTTATGAGAAATATGAAAATAATTCCTAAGTTAGAAATTCATACCGTGGATGGAATCTCTAATCGGTCCAAAAAAATAGTTTCTTTCATAAACCTCAACATAAAATAACCGCAATCTACACCATTACGCTGACGAGGACACTACACATGGAAAGAAAATACGGATATACATCAAGATATACACCTTAACTTGTTTTATCAAGTATCATCGCTATATAATCAAAATTGTGAAAATCTATACCTCCACTTTGATCCAAGAAATATTGTTGACTCTACTCCTTGGTACTTGAATATCTCTTTGTGCTCGAAAACTTTGTAGAATGCTATAATAAAATAATAACGAATATTTAGAACTATCGCACATAAATAATTAAATATACACAGTAATATTTTGGAACAATGTCACTTACGTGTCAATCGTCTTCTTCATATCTGAGTATGTTGTCCAATCATTGCCCAATGAATCCAGATAATATACAATTTCTCTCACATGATTAATTGCAACCAATAACCAGTGTCCACTGGAATATTAAACAAAGGTTAGATGGAAATTTTCTGCACAACGCTAAAAAATGAAAAATTATAATAGAGGTAATTTAGAATGAAAATCTTACTTGGGGCCAGTATTATATGGTAAAAAGAAAAAAATTTATGTATCTTTGCTGGCCATAAATAAACTGAGCACAAATGCTATTACTTCATCTGGTTTTGCGATTATTGACCCTGCATGGACAATGTTGGGATTTATGAAAGCGAATCTGGACTCCAATCCACGCGGGCGAATCAACTTGTCATACAGAAACCTTAAATAAAAACATCATTAACATTAATTATTCATTGAAATGAGTAAATAAATTTTGCAATTAATTAAACAAAGTTGATTGGAGTATACCTGATGTATGTATTGATAACAGCCATGGCTAATGTCAAGTGCCCAAAAACTTGTTCCAAATCCTCCTTACCAATTGTTGTCATGCCTTCAGAACCATAAATCCCTTCATGCAGGGGTATAAGAGAAGTACCACCTTGCGAAATAGTTGTGAAGCTTATAAATGTCTGAAGGCACGACCTATATTGTGAAGTAGTTTTCTTTCTAGCCCCGAACCTCTTAGCAACACTCTTTGTTTCTGTGGGAATGTTGCTAATTACAGGCTCCTTACCCCTACTTACAGCTTTAATCTCTTTAGCAGGAATAATCTAAATATCATAAAATTAGAGTGGTCAAGTATAGGACGACAAATTAACATTATCTAAGCATAAATATCATATAACTTTGTTGTACCTGTTTTTTTGCTGTCACTGACTCCTCTGGCCGCGTAATCCCTTTATCTTTTGGTTTGGGTTTTGTAGGAGTCTAACATTACAATGCAAAAAAAATGTAAGTAAAAAAGAACGTAAAAAATTTGAGTACTAAAAGGTTCATAAAGGTTTTAATTATACCTCATCATCTATGCGAACAAGCCTTGACGGCCATGCAACAAACGCTCCTATTTCCTCTCCCACCAATGTTGCATCCGAAACTTCATCTGGGATTGGTAATAACGCACCCTCCTCTAAAGCAATATCAATCGACACTTTCAAATATCCAGAAGGGAGCGGTTTATGATGAAGTACTTCTCCCAGAGTGTTATGGACTTTTCCCTTGCCAACCATGCGATAAGTTGGTGTCTCTAAAAAGAGTTGACAAGGTGAAATGCCCTAAAATCAATAATAAATATGACATCGTTAATGTGTATATATGTCAGTTAAATAAATTACACTAATTTAATTTCATAATAATATATGTAAGTACCTCGGGAATACTCGGTTGAGCTGCACAATTGACATTAGCTATGTCACTAGCTTCTTTAACACCCGAAGCTTCCCTTTCTGATTGGTATTGTCTTGCTTTTTCCTTCCTCAATTCAAGAACTTCAGCTTCTAATGCATCCAACCTGGCCTGCAGTTCTTTATTGCTAGCAGATTTTGTCTTTGGATTGTTCTTTTTCAAGGAGGTTGGAGTAACCCCATGTCCTTTACCCCTCACCCGACCAGAATACTCACGAACATCTAATGCTCGACTAAGTATGCTCCTGCAATCATCTGGTGGAGATGTAGACTGAGACAGACTCTCCTGAAATTCATATGAATATTGGAAAAACATGAATATTATATGTTAGTAAAATTTTGATTTAATTAGAATTAATGTTATACTTACGCATTTTTCAAAAATTTGTCGTACATCTTCTTTGAGAACTCCATCCTTACCCACACGGGCAGCCTTCCACAAAACATGCTCCGGAAGAGATGTTTCTGAACTACTCTCCTCTTTTAACTACACATTAACATAAAAAACAAGCTCAGTTATAACTATTGATGAACAAGTATATCATTGCAATTTGTAAATACTTACTATTTTTTGTTCTAATCGTGCATATCCCAAACGCCTTTTTTGTATGGATATGCGAGAGATGATGCTCTTAGACGATTTACTTTACTAACACTCTGAAATTTTGGGGTTTTCCGTTTGGCTTTAAAAACATCTCATTCTTTAACTGAAATCACATCCGCATATTCTGCTGGACGCTCTGCATCAACAAATTTTTTTCGGCATCTCTAAGATATTTTCTGTTTAAATATGTTCTAAACCCTCTCAGTATTTTGCCGGCCAATCCAAGACAATAATCTTTTCTTTTGTCATCAATGTTGAAAGACCTCTACAAAAAACATACACAAAGTGCGTTAGTATAAGTAATTTAAAGACATAATTTAAAGTACATAATCGTAATTTAAAGACATAATTTAAAGTACCTGTATCTCACTCCAGATTTTGTTTTTAGCATCATTCAGCTTATCATCTCTCCACTCATCACAAGTTATTGGAATTTCTCTCCTTACAAGTGTGCCAATGTAACTTGTCAATTTAGAACCGTTAGGCTCAATTAATTGGTCATTTGGACTCCAATGCACATCATATTTTATACCCTTATCTCTATCACGAATGATATTCTTCATTATAGTTTTTCCTCTTTTTATTTCTTTTTCCACTCCCTTACTGGATTTTCCTCCATCAGTGTCTCCATCATTAATAGAATCATCGTGAGGGTGCTCCTCGTTACTAGCCATCTAACTTGTAATAAAGAAAAACATTAGTATCTAATGACAAATATTTAATTCCAAATATATAATTCCAAATATCTATTCAGTATATAAAATGACAAATATCAACCCAACAACAAATCCAACAATTCTGATATTAAAAAAAAAACAGGCTCTGCTAGGCAGACAAGCCGATTCCAATGAAAATCCTATCTTGGAACTGTCGTTTGACATGGACAACAACAGACAGTTAAGTACGCCCTGAACTTTCAAGGGGCGTCAACAACATTGATGCTACAATTCTAAATGAAAACCAATGAAGTAACTGAAAATATACACAAACAACACAAGTTGTGAATAAGATCAGAATAATAGAAGCATATGAAAAGATACACAAACCGTTTCAATATTAATTCCAAACAGAACCAATGCAGAAAAGAACCAGATAAACAAGTACTAATCATATATAAACCCACATATTGCATTTTAGCTCTTTGATTAATAAAACCAAACATAACATTAATCCAAATAACTGTTCCTGAATTGAGACGCAGAAAAAAACATAACATAACTTCACTCCCTAACCTCATAACTCTATGTCTAACCAATCATAAAATCTGTTTTCATTCAAAAGCCCACTGATTTTCGCGACGAACTTCCTGTTCTTCCTCCTTAGTGTAGTCATTCTTAATGTTGAAAGTCCTGCGAATCTCATCTGGTGTCCTACCATCCATCATGCTCGCCACAGTCTTGCATGTAAGATCCAACAGACTCTTGATGTCCAAGTAGTTGGCAGCCAAAATAAGATCAAAAAGTGTATCCTGATCAACCTTCACAAACTCAGCATCCCACTTCTTCATATCCTTCTCTAGTTTAATAAAGATATTTTCAACCCAACAAATGCCTACAATCATGTGTAAAAAAAAGTGTTGTCATGTATCACATTTTATACTTTATTAAATTAGCATAATACTCTCCAAGTGTATACAATAATTAACATCTCCATGAAATACAACAAAAGCTACTGAGTAGTACATTCTACTAAGGTTCATATTCAACAAAATCATGACTTCCACTAGCTTTAACTTTCACTTAATCACATACATTTAGATCCATGAATAAAGGACTTGTGTCTATCATGTATTTTGTTCCTATTAGATAATTAGTCACATTCATGTACCTTACCTTATACTTCAATCAATCACTCATTTCTCTTTACACATACCACCTTGTTATCTCATTTTAGCCGCCATCAACTTGTGCTATAATTTAATTCACAATTTCAATATTATATGAAGCAAGTTGTAGATATAGTAGTTGCCAATAACATATTCTATAAAACTCACAATTCATCAACATTAACATTTCTATCACCAACAATGTCTACTATCAACAAGAACAAACCTTTTCTGTTCCCACAAGCTAACTCAACTGTCCTCCCTGACCCCTCCAACTTCTTCTCTTCAAATCTTCTATCCACACCCCTCCCTACTAACTCTTTCTTCCAAAACTTCTCTCTCAAAAATGGTGACCAACCTGAATACATTCATCCTTACCTCATCAAATCATCTAACTCATCCATTTCTGTCTCATATCCAACTCGCTCTTCCAGTTCTGCTGTCATTTCACAAGTTTTCAACAATGATCTCACCATAACATCCAACAACAAACAAAGTAGTGATGGAAAACACATAATCTCTTCCTATAGTGATCTTGGTGTTACCTTAGATATCCCTTTTTCAAGTCTCAGTGTCTTTCTTGTTAGAGGAAGTCCCTATTTGACTTTTTTTGTATCACATACACCTCTTTCCATTTCCACCATTCATGCCATTCTTTCTTTTTCTTCAAATGATTCCCTCACAAAATTCAACTTTAAGCTTAACAATGGTCAAACATGGATACTATATACTTCCTCACCAATCAAGTTGACTCCTTATCATTCTGAGATCATTACTGACTTCAATTCCGGCATAATTCGCCTCGCAAAATGTTATTTTATTTTAATCTTTTAATCGTTGCTATATATTAATATTTTTTGATTAATACAGAACACCCCGATGTTGTATCAATATTCTTGAATAAAAGATATGAACTACACACAACCCGGTCATGGGAATTCCTTGAATCATGTTGAAAGTTATGATAAAAATATTAGAAAGAAATTGAAAAAATAAGTGAAGAATAAAGAAGAAATGAAGGTTTTATTTATAAAAAACACAGATATATATAGTAATCAATTGAGATAACGCTTTCTCCTAAAATTAAAATGTATACACTATCTCATTATGTTTTAAAACTAATTCATAGAACCACTTACTCAATATGCTATAAATAAAATACTTGGCAATTGGCATCGAATAAGCATTACCGAATCATAAATTGACTATCACTTTCCTTCTTTTCTCTAATCAACTTTGGAAACATGCAACACTTCTTCAAGGGAAAGACTATTTTAGTCACCGGCGCAACTGGTTTCTCGGCAAAAGGTACTATATACCAAAGTTTCTAATATAAAAAATCATCTAAAGTTTATTTCATTATAAATATTATCATCTTTTAACTTATCTTTATGTGCAGTTTTTATTGAAAAGATACTAAGGATCCAACCAGACATACAAAAACTGTATATACTCCTAAGAGCTTCAAACTCTGATTTGGCTGCACATCGCTTGCAAAATGAGGTTTATCATTCATACTATAATAAATAAATAAAAACAAATAATTCCATTAGAATTAAAACTAAAAAAAAAAAGACTATTAAAAATGAACAAACTTAGTATTTGTTTTCTTACTTAATTTATGTAATCGTCGGATATTAGGTTTTTGATATCGATTTATTCCGCATGCTTCGAGCCGAGTTGGGTGAAGATTTTAATTCTTTTACTTCAAAGAAAGTTGTAGCAATTGCTGGAGATGTTGCTATTGAAAATTTTGGAATAAAAGATGAAAAGATTAAAAATGAGATATTTGAAGAGATAGACGTACTTGTCCATTCTGCTGCATCAACCAAATTAGATGAAAGGTGAAATCTAATTTTCTTAAAAACAAAGGTAAGTTAAATTAAATACTATTATAATTAGTCAAATAAATCTCATCATTTCTAGTTATGTTATTCAGGACCTGAACCCTCATCTGTAGCAAATTTGGAACCTTGGACTTTCACAATTGCTGCTAGCACAATTGATAGAGACTTTACTAGTTATGTTATTCTTGGTAACAAAAAGATATACAAGGGATCTAGCCTAAGTTATTACCTACTGTTTAGAACAAACAAAATCATCAATTTTATCATCTAATAGAGCAAACAACAATGTTATTACCTACTGAAGCAAAACTGACAGAATCCTATGATAATGTTTGATAACAAAACTCACAGAATCCAGAAAATCTCAACACATAAATCACCTACATTCAACTAAACACTCTAGTCACGATGCACACCAAAAAATGAATCCAGAAGCACAGGCTTTAATGATAGGAACACTTACTTGGATTGAAAAAATGAATTAGCTGTGGGCCGAAGATTCGAAGGTGATGCAACGGAGGAGGCTGCTGGTGTTGGTGATTGTGCCGTTGATGCGAGGCGGAGGGTAATGGTTAGAGGACGACGAAGGGATGAAGGATGGAGACGGTTGACAATTGATGGTGGTGGTTGGTAACGATGAAGATGAAACGGTTGAGAGGAGGGTTTGAGAGATGACGGAACAAAGGGAGTAATGGCCGGAGTGAGACAGGGGGAGTTTGGGAGGAGACGAGTGTTGAGAGGATGAAGAGAGAATGGGAGGAGACGAATGGAGATGAAGATGAACAGCGAATGAGAGGGTTTAATTTTGTGTTTCTGGAAATCTGATTTAGGGGTTAGGGGTTTAGAAATAAATTAACAAACCAAAGGTAGCGCTTTCAAGAAGCGCTGCTAAAGGTACCCCCCCTTTAGCAGCGCTTTAGGCTTACCCCCCCTTTAGCAGCGCTTTTAGATTTACACAAAGGCAGCGCTTTCAAGAAGCGCTGCTAAAGGTACCCCCCTTTAGCAGCACTTTAGGTTTACCCCCCCTTTAGCAGCGCTTTTAGACTTACACCTTTAGCAGCGCTTTTTGAAAGCGCTGTCTAAAGCATACCCTTTAGCAGCGCTTTTATTAATTTTTTAATTTTTATTTTTTTTAAAACCCTATAGCAGCGCTTAGGGAGAAAAAACGCTGCCTTTGATAAGGCCTATAGCAGCGCTTTTAATAAGCGCTATCTAAAGTTTTTTTTTTGTGGATACCTACAGCAGCGCTTTTGCATAAGCACTGTCTATGTAGCGGTGCCAAAACTCGTTTTTGGCGTAGTGCATATATACAACATATAACACAAAAACAATAATAACACATATACAAATATAAACAAAGATAGGCTCAACCCACTTAGGGATGGACCAGTCAGAGGTCAACCTTTCCCCAGTGAAGTCGCCATTTTTCTGTAGCGGTATAAATGTTTAAGACTAAGCCATTGGATTGACTAGACTTATACAAATCAAGATAAAAATTGTCACCGCGCTTTATTGTTTCCAAAGGAATGGGAAAAGAGCGAATAACCCAAAAAGAGGGGGAAAGATTCTAGGTAAGGGGGTTGGTTATGTAAAGGGAAGGTATTAGCACCCTAAACATCTACGGTACTCGGCAAGAATCTCTTTGTAAAATCTGTATATTTTGGCTATGAAAAATGTTGTATAAAATAGATGGTGGAGGTGAGAAAAGAAATATATTTTTATCGTACTTCTTTACCGCTTTCTAGAAATCATGAGAAGTAGGGCTTTACTGCTTTTTGATGCCATGAGAAGTAGGATAGAGATTTATGAAGGGGATTTGTATTGTTAATCATGTCAGGAATCCCTCTGGTTTATTTAAAGACCCGTTTAGGGAAATTCCACATTGTGTGCTTTCTGTGTGCTATTTGTGTTTGTTTAAAACACTACCTTTAAAGTAGGTATTCCGCACGTGTGTTTATATTTGTGCCCGCATGTGTATAGATGATAAGTCCTTAAAAAGATGCAAGCAGGGAGGGTTCATAATCAACCCCTGCAATTTTGTCTGTGTCATCCTTAGCTTGTGACGCACCACGACGCTTCGGAGTTGTGCCTGCTCTTGTTATAGAATCGTCAAGTGGGGAAGGGTTTTGCAATCAAACACCCACGCTTTTTCAGGAGTTCGCATTGTCCGATGTTGACACTCCGTGATTGTTCATATTGCCTTATGTTGCCTACCTCGATCTCCTATATCTTGGTTAGGTGTTCAGTCGCTTTGGACATCACATTTTTGTTTTACATCCTATTCCCACTTGTTTGTCTCGGGTGATCTACTCCCCTTGGCTAAAGCACTTAGTTTCTTTTCCTTAATATTTTATGTGTGTGCTCTTTCGATCTTGCTTGTTTTATCCTTGTACATACCATGTTCCTTTAGGATGCGCTTGTTCCCTTTGGATGCAAGTGATACCTTAGGTTGCAAATCATGCATGCTAACATTAGGTAGAAATTTCCCTTTCATCCTTCGCGTAGGGCCACCGTTGTAAGATGACATTAGGGGTAGTGCTAGGCTAGTCTCCCTTAGTTTTTTCTCCCTTTTTGCATATGCATTTAAAACTAAAACTCTCTCTTCTTAAAAAATAAAAAACATGCTTAATCACACTTAAAACCTTTTTCAAGGTAACAACATACAAACCAATAAAATGTGGCATCTTTCCTTGAGGGCGCAACTCAAAACCATTTTAAGATAAGGACATGATTAAGTTACTTCTGTGCCAACGCATGAGTCTCCAAAGGTCGAGCTGCGAAAGAAGGCGGAATTAACATTGTTCATAAAAAAAACAAACAAGCAAAAATATGTGAGCCAAACTACAGTAACTCTGATTCCTCAAAAAGGATACGTAGGCATTGGGGTAG